CTCTCTCTCTCTCTCTCTCTGTGTGTGTGTGTGTGTGTGTGTGGTGTGGAGGGGCACATGGAAGGAGATACTGAGGCTGGCATCTGTGGATTGGTGAAAGGCATCGTCTGGGAGAGACACCCAGAGGCCTGATTCCAGGGAAACAGGAAGCCGAGCTCAGGCTTCACGGCAGGGGGCGGGTCCTGTCAATGCTTCGACTTCCCCATCCCGGGCCCCTTACCCTCCTCTCGCTGGTGAAGGTTGCCTTGGAGACGGGGTTATCCTGGCCCTAGGATAACACTGGGGCTTATCCTGGGATGGGTGGGGTATCGGCTGGTTCTATGGTGGGAAGAAAGCAAAGGTCAGACAGATGGTCTGAGTGGAGGCCTGGGGGATATCTAAGCAAATAAAAGAAGGCAGAAGAAAAAGTAAATCGTTCCCTGGGAGGCTTGGTAGTATCAAACTTTACTACCTATCTTTTAAAAAATTCTAAAATATGTCTGCCAATATTCCAGCCTTCACGCTCGCTCTACAGTCCGACCATCCTTTTTCTTTTCTACTCACTGTCTGTCCAAAAAAGATGTTTGGAGAAAAACATGCTGCACTTAGAAAGACCTAGAAACAAAACTGGGCTGGAAACAGAGAGAGAGAGAGAGAGAGAGAAAGAGAGAGAGAGAGAGAGAGAGAGAGAGAGAGAGAGAGAGAGAGAGATTGGAGGATTGGAGGGCTGGGTGAGCGGTGCTTGTCTTGGTGGAAACCAGCAGTTAGTGGCTTCCTCTTAGCTTCCTCTACCAGGGGCTTTCTCCTCCCTGGGAGGGGGGAGGCTTATTATCTCTCTCCTCAGAAAGGCAGGGTATTATTGGTATTTGGACCTTTGAACATCCCAGAAGTGTGCGTTCCCATCATGCTGACCCTCAAAATCTGCTCAGGGACCCTTCCCCACTGATGAACAAGGTGATTTCAAAGACGCCTTATTTCCCAGACTTCCGTTTTCCCCACTGGTAGGCGACCACCAGGGAGTCTGCCCAACCTCGATCCCACAGGGAGAAGCTTTAGTTGGTCTCAAACAGGTTTGACCGCCTTGCCCCTGCTTGTCTTTACAGCCGCAGCTGCCCTGATCATCAATATTGACTGCGGCGGCCTGGCGGCCTGGATTGCCACCCTCCAGTTACCCTGCCTAAATTTCAGGCCGCCCTCTCCCGGGGCCGCCAGGGGGTGACTCCCGGATTGGAAGCCAGGGCTGCATCAGGAAATTGTTTGCTCCCATCTCATCTCTGTGGCCCTGCTCTTTCTCGTTCACCAGCTCCCTTTCCTCAGCTGGCTTCTCTTCCTGTGCCCAATGCCTGCCTTGTCTTGGTAACCAGTCCCTAATCTCTTCACAGCCCAGATTGGAAGGTGTGTCCCTCCTGCCACTCCTCGGAGCTCTCACCACCCTCCAGGTTTCCATAGCTCCATTGCTCAACAATTTGCCAAGGGTAACCATTAACCCAGCCCTTAGCTCTGCTCCCCACCGTCCCCTGTGGAGAGGATTTTCCAGTCACTGGGCAGCAGAGCCAGGTCACCTCACACCATCTCCCTGGGCCGCAGGCAGGATCTTCTTATTTCAGGATTGCTGAGACAGTTTTTAAATTATGTACTTATAGTGTGTGTGTGTGTAAGGGCACAAACAGCACAGGTGTGGAGGTCAGAGGTCAATTTTGTTAGTTTTTTCCTGCCGTGTGAGTCCTAGGGATGGAATTTAAGGCAATTTTCCCTGACCAGCCAGCCAGACTTAAAGGCTTTATTTATTTATTTGTTTATCGTAAGCTATATTTCTTTCTTTCTCCCTCAGAAACTCCTTCTGTCCCACCCGGCTCTATCATGGACGAGTTATGATACGCGGTGTCCTTTGGTCAGTGGGCTGTGGGTCGGGCATAAACCGATACGCCTGGCGTTGCGTGTCGTCATTATGTCTGCTTTCGGAATGCTGTGTCAATCATCCAGAAACCGCACTTCCTCTTCAGAGGTCCCGAAAGGATCAGGCCCCGTGGTGCTCGTGTGGGGGTGGCCGTGCCCCGCTTTCAGGGACCGGGCATGGCGGGCGCAGAAGTAGGGTTGAAATGACAGGTGGCTGTCACTCCCACTTATTTATCCTAAGACACTCGTGTAGCGCTTACTCTGCTTGCTGGACGCCGCTCTGCAAATATTAGCTGTTAAATTGTATTTAATATAGTTAAATATTTGTAAATATTAACTCGGTGGGTGCAAATATGAACAGAGTGGCTGCCGTTGGCCTGGGCCGGGTTAATGGTGCTTCTCGCCACGCTCCGGGCAGGAGGAAAAATGCTCTGGCCCTTTAAGGTCGGCCTCCCCACCGCCCAGACCCTTTTTCTGGGCTGCGACTTGGGCTCGCACAGCGACCTGCTGGCGGGCGAGCCGGCGAGCGGGCGGGCGGGCGCCGCCCTGCCTCAGTCAAAGCTCGGAAACCCTGGCCTCCCGCTGCTTAGCAACGGCAGAGGGCGGGAATTTTGAACGCGCCGGCCCCGCCCCTCTTGTAAACAGACCAATCAGCGAGTAGACTCCGCCGCGCTTCTCCCGGTACTCCCTCTCTTCCTATTGGATAGCT